ATACTAGCAAGAGAGAATATGCAGAAGTTGGGATTGCTATATCTGAATGAAGTTAATTGGGATGTGTTTGTTTCTCTGCGTATGTGCAATACTGTTCCTTTGCAGTACAAGTTTTTATTCATTTTCTCATATTGCTTAAGTTAGATGAAAGTGACTGGACAACTGCACTCACCCCTCCACGTTCAGTCATGTTCACAAACTTAGATTACAGTGCAACAGAAGATGTCACAAAGAGTGCCGTTCTGCTGAATGAGGATGATCCTGGGGAAGCAGGTGAGAGATTCATTTTTCCTTTATGTTTTGCATATTTGTTTGAAATAACATTGGTGCATTTTCAGAGAGCCAAGTAGTCTATAAAACAGTGTAATGTATAGTGGATCCAGCTGTGGAGCATGAAGCGGTACTAGATCATCCCGTCTAACTTATTCCATAGGAAAACAATTCCTTGGAAAAATAGCCATAAAGAAGCATAATGCTAAATGTCTTACGTGTCGGGTGAATTTACACTAGGAAATTAGGCAGACTGTATGTTTGAGTGTATTTTCAATTGAGGGTTCCAAAACTGCAAATCTGAAAAATTATCTAGAATTTACTTCCTGTTTGGCTACAGTGCTTCTAAATTCATGTAGATTTTTTCTTGTATTTCCTTTTGAGACATACTTAAGTTATAGTAGTGTTATTCTACAGATACATTTGTTTTATTTAAAAAAAAGCTGAAAAGGACTTCAAAACAGTAATTAGTGTGTGCTATGATAACCAAAATCAGGTTTAGACCTGTAGAAAACAAGAATTCTACAAAATTAAACCTTTCTAATCAGCACTTTTTCCTTCTGTTTTTCTAGCTACTCGAGGCATGTACTCTGATTTTCTGCATTCTTTGTTAAAGCACAGTTCAAATACTGTGTTTGAACTTATAGATGAATATGAAGACATTTGCAGTAGCCAGGTATATTTAGTTGCTTATTTTTTCATGTGTTACTCAGTTGAAATACTAATCAATGACATTGATGAAATGTAGTAGCATTTGAAAGGGGGCTTACTCTTCCTTGGGGTTGTTGGTCGTTCATCCAGGAAGTTATGGCCCACACTTGCTTGGATATGGTTGTTTGGGGCTTGTGGCTGAAGAGGATTGTTAAACGACATGCTCAATCATATGTTATTGTATGGATAATTGAAATATTTAATACTATTATATACTAGAAAAATAGTAGAATTAAACTAAATGTTCTTGTTTTTAAACATCAGGTAAACATTCTTCAAAAAATAGTGTACCGAGCAACTCCTGGACAGCAGAAATTTTCAAAAACTGCTAGTGTGTTGTGGCTTCTTAAGCAAGAGATGGTAACATGGAGACTGTTGTCCTCAGTTTACAGGTAATTTGTACAAATATACCTGATTTGTTAAGCTCATTAATTGTACAGTACTGTGGTTAGTTAGTTTGCAGGTTGCAGCATTTTGTATTTGCTTTTTGTCATCCTTCATTTTGAGGAGCTGAGTAATATCCCCTAGTAATAAAACAAAATACAACTTTTCCAGTTTGCATAACTTTTGCACAGCTTGCAGTAGTAGTATGAGTGCAGTAATAAGAAGCATTTCACTCTTGAATGTTGGACAGCAACCCATAAGGTCTACTTATGATAGTCTGAGGTGAGGGGAATTACGGTCCAAGAACATCTGGAGGACAACACATTATCTGCCCCTGTTTTAAAGATACCCAGGATCTGACTTTGAATCATTAAAGTGGGAGTTGATAATCTCAGTCTCCAGATGTCTGTTGAACTCCAACTCCCATAATCCTTGAGTACATGGGGTCTGGTAGGACTTGGCAGTTCTCAGAACTAATTTCCTAACCAATCCCATATAGAGCTTTGTTTATGAGTGCAAAGATACTGTGATGCTCCATACAGAAACAAATGGAAAACAAGGGAACCAATCTAGTGTGTTGCTTAGTTACTGAAGTTACTTAGATTAGCTATTTGGCTGTGCTTGGAAGACATTAATATACAAATATAGGATATAATGGATCAATAAATGATGCTACATCACTTATTTGGGAAGATATTACAGACAATATTCAAATACAATTCACCTGTACTAGAGTAGCACCCGGTGTGGAGAATCCCAGTAGAACCTTGTAAAGCCCTAAGCAGACTTGTACAAAAATAGCAAGGTAAATTAGTTCTGTATTAGAATATGAAAAGTACAAAGTTTTAGTTTCTGTAATGCTGGGTATGTAAGCAGGAACAGGGGGAAACATACTCGGAACGATCTTCTGTGTGAGAGCATTGCCGCCACAGTGAAGATAAATAATGCCCAGAATGTTTTGATTTGTGTTATGTACACTTATGCAAGTAAAGGAATTTAAAAATTATTGTTATTGCTAATCACCAACTGTGGTGTTCACTCTTGTGACACCTACGTGTTTTGCCCCCACAAAGGCTCATGTCGCGTTTTTCTCTCGCTGCCACCAGTGGATTACCTCAATCCATAATATGAATAACGTTTGTCAGAACACTTGTTTTGTGAATACAAACAGAACTTATTTATTGAATTGAATCAGATGTAATAATAACAGAAATTCTTCAGATAAATAAGCAGATCACTAAGTTCTATCAGTACATACTTTTCTCTTGCAATATTATTACCACCTTCTCTACCTGTTTTCTTAACCAGCCTTATCACTCAGTGTCTGTTCCCTCTCTCTCTGACTAGCCAGCCCTAACTCTATCTGGATCTCATCTCTATCTCTATCTGACTCCTCCTGCTCCTGCCAAGCCTCATATAGCTGCTGACTCCACCTCTCCAATCATCTCATAGGCTCATGACTATGAATGGCATGAGTGACATGGGGTGATCATCACAATAACATTAATTTTTTCTCTCTCCTTTTCAAATCCAGGGATAGGATACAATCTGCTCTGGAAGATGAAGCCATGTTTGATATTGTGGTAAGTTTTCGGACTGTCATTTTCTGTAAAGAGATATGACTCAAAATCATTATTTTAACTCAAATTCTGTGCTATTCAAAATTCTGATAGTGATAAGAAACCCAACTCTGGAACTAAAATATTAAAATAGTTTTTTAAAAGTACATATATCTAAAATGTTTTATTCAGCACTGGACAAACCAGCTCCCAGTTGCATGATGGAATTTTCGCTCCCCAGGGTCCAGGGCTGGCCTAACCATTAGCTAGGATGAAGTGGTTATCTGGAGTGCTGGGGAGGGCAGCTGACCTGCTCCTGCTACCCACAGTTTGCCATCAAGAGCTATTCCTTTCCCTTTTTGCTGGTCTCCATCACTGTAGCTGCTTTCCCACCACCATTGCACAGCTGCCTCTTGAATAGCTGTGTGATTAATCCCTGACCCCAGAGTCTTAGGGACCAAGTTATTGTGGGGAATAGATGCCAAAGAAATGATTTGTTGCTGATGTTTGGGGGGGGGAGACACTCTTCCCCATATTGCATTGGTCCCAAGGACTTTTGGGGCCAGGCATTGTTCACTTAGCCAGTTGGGAAGCAGCCCACTCTGTGAAGGTGAAGAGTTGTTGTCGGCAGCATTTAGGTGGAAGAAGTTGTTACTGTCTCCATCGCTCTTCTCACTATCATAAGTGTGACATCATGCCAGGAAGAGTGGGGTTGGTGATGTTGGCACCAGCTCCTTGCTCCCCATCTCAGGCAGTACAGCAGGGCTGATAGGGTCCTCTTAATGTTCTGGATCAGGTTTGCATGTGGAGCTTTATATGGGAGTGAAAATCTATTCTGCTGAGAGAATCTGTTCCATTGGATGCAATTTGGATTAAAAGGTGTTAATCATTTGTCTCTCAATTGAAGATGAATGTCTTCTTCCATAGGTTATAAATGCTAGTGAAAAGACTGTTGTAAACAACTTGTTCCAGAGAGATTCATTGGTTCGACAAAGTCAGGTATGACTTAAAAGAATGCTTTCTAAAGAGCGAGGCTGAAGTTCTAAGCATACTTACATAGGATTAAGTCCATTAAATCTAGTGGGATCTGTTTCTAATTATACATTACTTCTTGAAAACCAGAAGAGGTTTTAGCTCAGAATCTAGTCAAATGTAGTAAAGTACCTTTAAGCCGTGTACTTTTTTCCAAGGAGGTCGAGCCACATCTAAAACAGATTGCAGGTCCATTTCCTGAACATGAAATCTACTTACATATGATGCTTCTGTTTTGTCAGGATTCAGCTTAAGTGTATTGGTCCTTCTTCAACACTGAACCAAACTGAAGCACTAGTACAGCACCCCTCAAACCCCAGAGGAGGCAAAGAAATAACCTGGGTTATGAGCATACTGATAACACTTCACTCCATGCTCCAGTGGTCATATCTGGGAGGCAGTACACATTGAATGTAGCCTTTGAACTCTTTTTAATAGCCCTTTGGCCCTCCTGCCATCAGATGTGCCAGAGCCAATAGCAGAATCTCTGAACTTGATGCTCTCATTTCTATCCCAGAGATCCTTAAACACTGTTTATTCATCCTCTTTCCAGCCCCTCCTGCAACACTGCCAGGAAGCACCTCCCTTAGCTAGTTTATGTACTGCTCCTGGAAACTGTCCAGCAGTTTTTTCTCTGTGTTGTAGGAGGATGCTCTGTCATTCTGCTGCATCACAGAGCTGCTGAATTTTGATGACAACTCAAGTGGCAAAGGGTACAGCCCTGAAGGGTGCTATGGAAGAACAATGTGAACCCCCAACCCCCAGAAGTTATCCACCCTAATATAAATATTAAAAAGCACATCGAGTGGAGAAATGGAAACTTGCAAAACCCCACCATGCAAATACTCTGAGAATGAGAAAGACCTCACCCCACCCCTAGAAGCATCCGGCAGCTATGAGTAGCGGAGTCACTTTATCCTGAAGCTGCAGAGCTATCCCAGCAATGTACCATTGCTGATGGTACTGGAACTGTCTTAAGAAGAAACAGCAGAGTCTTACTCTGTGGTCAAATAAAGATCACCTGTGTGGTCAGTCAAGGCTGATATGGTGCCAAACTAACTCCTGAGTCCAGATTGCAGTGGATGACTGACTGCATGAGGGATCTGATTTAGGTAGCATCTTGTAAATAAATCTGCGGGAGCAAATGCTGTTTGGCCTGGTAGAGAAAGCAGTTATATGAGTAAATAAATACTGGATTGGACTGGAGCATTGTGGACTGTCTATATTTGGAGTGGAACAGAAATTGTGTTTATTTCTCACTTTAATATAATTCAATTTAACTTTCAGTTAGTGGTAGACTGGCTAGAGAGTATTGCCAAGGATGAAATTGGAGACTTCTCTGATAATATTGAATTTTATGCAAAGTCTGTGTATTGGTAAGTCAATAACTACCTGCTTGTGATCTCTATTGCAACTGGTACTTTGTATCATATCCTTAAACATTTAAAGGTTATTTTACATTTTTGCTGAATAGCCCTCTCCAATATGAAAATGTAAATAATGTAGAAAAATGGAAAGTTACTGCATAAGGGGTAGAAAAAGGAAAATAAAAATTTGTAGATTGAGAAGGAAGAAGCGGAGATGATGTGGCATTGGTTTTTCATACACCATTAAAATCAGGGTTCTTATGATTCATAAGAACCAGTACCGCTTGTTCCCTCTACTTATCTTCCCCTTTCCCCAGTTTTAAACAGTATTAGGTATCTTTAGCTAGTGGTCTGGACGTAAAGGGAGTGCAGTGCTTCCAGGTCTGCTGAGTTTCCTGATGCTTCTCAGCTGCATCTGAATCAGAGCAAAGGCTGTGTAGAGAGTTCTGCCGTTCTGCCATCAGGTTACAGTCCTGCACACGTTAAAGTAAATCCAGTTACACCCATTGGGGCTTATCAGTAGAAGTGTATCAAATTACAACTCAGTCCTCAGATTCTGGCCTGCTTTGAGTAATTTCAATATATTGTAGTTGCTGTGGGACTGCAGAGGCTTGGGAGGAGAGCATTCTGGCTTCAACTCTTGGTCAGAGGAAAACTGGGAGGTTACATCCTTTCCTTCCCAGAAGTCTCTCATGACATGAAGATGAGCCTGGCTTTAGCTGTGGGCCACAGAATGAGCAGCTTGAGGAAGCCTGTTTCTACCTCTGTTTCAGGCATAGGTTGAGGTGGAAAAATGAGGTAGAGGATACTAACTTCTGACATCTGCTACAGAACCAAGAGTTCTGGATATTGTTCTTTTTTTTTAAGTGTTCCTCAAAGAGGTGGATGCTTCCTAGCAAATCACTTCACCAGAAGTGGAATATATTGATATTAAACAACATCAATGCATAATAGAATGTTTGTCCATATCTCCATATATACATATCATAGAATATTTAATGGCCAGTGCTGTTGAAATAATGGCATGCTTTATGTTTTTAGGGAGAACACTCTGCACATCCTGAAGCAACGACAATTAAACACATTTGCTGGGAGCTCACGGCCACTAGTGACTGAATTAGTAAGTGCAATTTACTAATGCTCAGCTTTAATGCTAGGCTCCAAACCAGGAAGCAATTAATGGTTTCCTATGATTGATGGAACTTTTGCAATATGCAGACAAGATTTTCTTTTAATAAGAGAAGTGCTACATTACTTTAGCAGGCTGTAGTCCACTCCTAATTAATTTAGTCTACCATAACCACTGTATGTTCTGCTTAGCTGGCATTTGCAAATATGCAAACATTTTATGTAACACTGAGTAACTTGTTGATCAGATATAGGCCATAATTTTCATGCATTGGTGAAATGTTTTTAGAACATATGATTTTATTTATTTTATTTTATTTTATTTTATTTTATTTTATTTATTTATTTATTTAGATTTATATAATACCCATCTAGAACATGTCTGCTCTGGGTGATTTCTTATAACAACATCAAAAATTATTTCAGTCAATAGATATGATACACAGAGAATTATACCATTATTAAATAATATTATTTACCTTTTCAAAGTGTGATAACTTATGGGTTTTTTTTACAACATTGGGAAAGATTTTCATAGTAATTTACTGGTCTTTGACTGTAATAAAGTATTCATTTTCAAAGTAATTCACTAAATTTCACTTTGGACCTTACAGTCCAAAGTCACCTTACAGTTACAAAATTTTAAAAAATAAGAATAGAGCAAAGTGATAGGTATTTGTAAAAAAATAAGTCCGTTTTTAAAAGCATCCTGGCTTCATAGAATATTTATAATATTTGACCAGGGTCAAATTGTAGGTGGTCAGTTGGCCTAACAAATGGTGTGGCCACCATACTTTCAATCTCCTTGTTAGAACAAGATGGACAAAGAAGAGAAAGGGAGAAACTTAACAGCAATTACTGTAGCTGGAATTGATTATGGAGGGTAGACTGGTTAGCATAGGAAACTAGTAGGAACTAGTGAAATGTTTTGTTTTTTTGAGAGGAAAGTAAGTGAAGGTAGGTTTGATTATTTAATAGAATCTGTACTGTATCAAATGACTGTTTATTCTGGATTTTATATTCTAAAATTCTGTGCTAAGTGTGGATGGATTTTAAAGATGACATATTAGAAAAAGTAAAGGGGAGAAAGAAAAGGGTTAAGATGTGACTCCCCACCTGATAGCTTTGATAGACACAGTTGCATATATAAAAGACATTTACTGCTATATTTAGATCACTGGGTGATGGCAGTAGGTTATCTGGGATGATATTGGCAATATCTGGGTTGAGTGGACCAGCTCAGCTGCCCATAAAGGGGCCCAAGGCCTTGTAGGAGACTTCTAAATAAATTACAATGGCTTCTGCACACATGCTACAAAACCTCAGCAAAGGCAAGGCACTGTAGAGTGAGAGAGGCCACAGGGGCCAGACACTATGTAAGTGAAAGAGAGGCATTTTTAGGATGTAAAGGATTTGAGCAGAGACATAGCGGGGGAATTAAATATGTGGGTTCCAGATAGTGCCTGTGCATTGATTGCCCACAGAGTCCAGAATTTATAAAAAAAATGTTATATGGCTTCTCCAGTGACTGATTTTTTAAAATCATTGTTTATGACCCTTCTGCGCTCTGTAGCTCTAGAAGCAAATTGTAGCAGATTGAAATTATCAAAACCAGCTTGAAACCATTTAAGAAACAGTTTGTAACATTTTAAAAGGAATATTATTAAGGACAGAGGTCAAAGAATAGAGAAGGGCCTACAGTAGGAACCTACTGTTGTTTTCAGTTACTTTCGCCTAAAATCAGTATCTAGTGAGAAACTGCTTTTGTAACTCAAAGGAATCAGCACTGTTCTTATATTTAGGACCCAGATGCTCCAATAAGGCAGAAATTGCCACTTGATGATTTGGATCAGGAAGATGATGCACGGTTGCTTAAGTTCCTTTTCACTCTTATTAGAGCTGGAATGACAGATGAGGTAAACTATATAAATCCTAAATGTTTCTCCCCTTTTTAAAAAAGGTGTATGTTTATGATTTTAATGATGTTTAGTTTAACTAAGAAACTGGATCTAAAATGAAGCTTTGATCCTCATATGCTATAAGCCTTTCAGCTCCTGTTCCAAAGCTGACTAGAACCTTGAAGAAGAACATTCCTCTTAGATGCACTACCCCATTTTGTTGTCATGTTACTTAAAAACTAGTGTGGTGTAACTGCTGCTCTCTCAGGTCAGGCCTACTCTCCTTATTCATTTTACAGGCTCAGCGACTGTGTAAAAGATGTGGACAAGCTTGGAGAGCTGCAACTCTTGAAGGGTGGAAGCTGTACCATGATCCTAATGTGAATGGAGGTACTGGAAAGAAATGTGATTTAAGGGCAGAGATAAAATGAAGAGTCCTGTTCATATTTTTACTCATCTTACCAAGTTACCTGAAGTTATGTTCCAGAACGATATGTGTTTGGGAAGGAAAGACATTGCTTATCTTGGGGAGAATTCAAAATGCATATTTCATCAAACTAATTAACAAATATAAAATGAAGAGGATAGTGTACATCTAGCAGCAGAGTATGAGTCACGACAATCTATTCTTTTCTGGGAATTTTCTATGGAATAATATTTCATAATCTGAGATTTGATGTGCCTAATACAACAGGTTGTGTTCTGTAGAGACTGGCTGCATTCAGACTTAGAATTTTTAAATCCTCAAAATCATGGTTCCGAGGATCCATAGTGAGTCCTGTGTTCATGTGCCTCTTCCTCGCGCAATCAAAGGGATACCTGATTTGATCAAATAGTTTGCTGTTAAAGCTGAAGTAGCAGAGCAGTTTGAGTGAGCTCACCAAACAACTGCGCAGATCAAACACATGCTGATTTGGATATAATTTGATTTAGTGAAACTAGGAAGTTAATAATTAAGCTGATTGTTCAGTGGTACAGGGATCACAGAAGTACAGAGATGGTTTAAGACAAAGGTAACAATTTGGTTGCTCCCATACTTTCCTTATTGTGAAACTACTAGTCTTAACTGTAGCAGGAGCTTGGTTGTTACCTTTCAGATGGGGAAAACAATTACTGTGAATTTCGTTGTATGTGTATATACTTACAATGACAATAAATAATAATAATAATAATAATAATAAT